AAAAAAAAAAAAAAAAATTACTAAGCAAAAGAAAATTATTTTTAAGGATAAGTCTGTCTTTGATAATGTTGCAAATGATTATAAGATGTAAAACATTACATTTCCTATTAAAATTGAACATGGTATTGAAATTACTTACAGTATATTACATTTAATCTTTCCAGTTCTACTTTAAAGAGTCAAGCACTGAAAGCAGTCAAGGCAACAAAACTGTGTCATGAGCAGAGCAAGTTAAAACCTTTTTCTTTTTGTTTAATCTTCATTCCCCAGGAGTGATACCACCCGCTGAAGAACTCCTTTCAGCTGCATTCCTGAGATTACAAGCCTTACGTTAAATGATTATCCTTGAGACCAGATTTTGCAGGCATCATACACAAGTATATTCAATTAAAATGGAATTATACATGTTGCTATTTTGATACCAAACAGAAGGGTACACTGAAATTAACAGAGAAACAGAAAATCCAGCCTATGGCTCACTCTATGTAGCAGTAGTGTCATTCTAATTTTATTGATGCTTTACTTTTCATAAAGTGCAATTAACAAAATAAATACGTTCAAAAGAGCTTTAAAGAGTCATATACAGTTCAGAGATTAAGATAAATTACTGGTTATATTCCTTATAACCTTTAAGTCTGTGAAAGCTGTTAAACTAAAAACTCATTGAGCCAGCTGAGAGAATGATTTTTATCCCCCTTACATCAACTGGTATTGAGAATCATTAACGAAGCTCACTCTATGACACAGGATTACACAGAAGGGGCATTTACATGCTACAGACTAAATCCAGATATGGTCAGGTGCTGGGCATTGTTTCTGGCTTCAAAATATGATGTGTCTGTTTCGTTATCTGGCTGGGGTATGAAAGGCATAGTCTGATGCTGTAGATTTTCCCAGTCCACATCATGGAAGAGAGGATGATGTTTCAGTTCTTAGGAAAAATATAAAACAAAACAGTGTATGATGACACCATTACCTCAGGAACTACTGTTTTCAGGAGTTACAGGAGAATCTCGCCCTTCCCTATTATGCCAGGCCCACAGACCAACGCGTAATTCTCCCCGCTAGGCGTCTTACACACTGAGTCATCTCGTGTGTCACCTGGCATGACAGGTGCTTGGTTCGCATTCGTCGAATGAACAAAAGAGTGGCCTTAGCAGAAGTCTGTCTCTCCAGCTGCCTTCTCCCTGGGAACGTGGCTCACTTCTTGCTCAGAGTGCAGCTCCCTACCGCGCATCTTTCATGGTTACTGCTACAGTTCTCGTTCCAGCACCTCATCACCTGTTTATAGTGCTACAGTCCAGCCCTCTGCGAGGTCCTAGGGAACGTCAGCGGGGAGCTCATCCTTGATGCCTCCACTCCACCTCCTTCAGGGACGGCCACACATATACTGATCATGCTCGATTTTATTATCCCCACATACATACTGTTTCTTGACAGTGCTTCTACCTGTCATCCATCCATCCATCCATGCTCTACCACTACTTAGGTCCTTGGTCACTTTATTTTCCATTTCTGAGGCAGAGTTTTGTTAACTGCCCAGCCTGGCCTCGAGCTTGTGATCCTCCTGGCCTGCCTGTGCCTGTCTGGTAGCTGGGATTATAGGTATGTGCTCAGCCGATAACACTTTATTTTTATTGCACTTCTAAGTTTAATCCCCCGTATCATACAAAGAAAATAAATTATAGAAGATTTTCATAAAACAGATTTCCTATATTTGGTGTTGGTTAGTTTTATCAGGCTATGAAAATCTTAAGATTCTGACAATATAAGATGGTTTCAAGTATCTCCTTGAGAGTGACAAAATTAAGTTTATTGTATTACAACTTGCCTGCAATAAAGACAAATACCTTAGTATTTAGAGGACAGACATAAGTAGAGTTATCTTTTTACCAGTGAGCAATCAGATTATCTGGAGCAGTGTACTGGAACTTGACACTGTTATTACTAGTCACCACCAAGGTTAAGCACCGACTAACACAAAACCTTACCTTTCATTCCAGCTCTCTTTGTATCATCAATGGTTAAAAGTATTTCTACTGCACTTTGAGCATTATCAGATAACTTTTCTTCACCTTCAGGCCAAGGTATATCTACAAATACAAATGCACAAATACATTTTTTTTGTTCCGGTTTTTTTGAGACAGGGTCTCACTATGTAGTTGAGACTGACCTGGAACTCACTGTGTAGCCCAGGCTAGTCTTGAACTCACAGCGGTCCTCCTGCCTCAGCCTGCTGAGTGCTGGGATTACAGGCGTGCGCCCCCACACCCGGCTACAAACACATTTTTTAATCACTGTTCAACACAGAAATAATGAATATTTTATTAGGAGAAAAAGAATCACCTCTTTTCAGAATATTCTGGAATACTTGCTGTGGCGTTTCATCATTGAAAGGGGGAATTCCGGTTAGAAATTCAAACAAGCAAACTCCAAGTGCCCACCAGTCTACTGCAGGTCCTGGATTTAAGAGGAAATAAGCTGTTTGCAAGCATTTTCTACAAATATCTGATCAACTGTAACATGACTACATGGACAGTTGAGCATAATCAAGGCATTCTTTGCCGAAAGCTTTCAGGTGTCTTCATAAATTATAGAAATGCTAAATTACCTTTATTTACACAATGTGTTCATTTCCTATTTCATAAGAAGATTAGATTAGCAGTTACCATAGCTACAAATGAATGTTAAAACCACTTATTTCCAATTATTAATAACTTCTGGTATTCTGGATAATTTTATGTTCTAATCCCTAAAACACAATGAAGGAATATGTTTATCATAAAGAATATTTTCTAAAATACACACTCTATTCGAAATGATTACATTTCTGTTTTTTTTGTTTGTTTGAGACAGGGTCTCACTCTGTAGTTGAGACTGACCCGGAACTCACTTTGTAGCCCAGGCTGGTCTCAAACTCAGTGATCCTCCTGCCTCAGCCTCCGAGTGCTGGGATTACAGGCACACTCTACCAGTATTTTTAGTGATGATAAACTGGTTAATATTTTGGTTTAATTCTGTATTTCCTCAGCAAAGGTTACTTTTAGTTCAGAACTACTTAATTTCAATATAAATTTAGATAAGGAATTTTAGTGGTGTTAAATTTTCCTACAAATTTTCTTTTAAAAACAATCTCACAAAATTCATAATGGTTATAAGCACCTGCCACCATCCCATTTTAAAAGAGTAGCAAAGCACTACAGAGTCTGCCATTAGGCAAAATAATCTCATGCATGTAGGGTGCCTTTTGTCTGTATAATCTCATTTCCCCTCAGGACCATAGGATGCTACGAGTTGGTGGCTTCTATAGCAGTTACTGTGAAAACACAGATCTCAGTTAGTAGATCTCTCAAGCAGCACTGAGCAAGAATACAGTGGATTAGACAATGTAGCCAAATAATAGGAAAGTAGGAAGAATTGAAGAAAAAACACGTTTTACTCAGGTTAGATATTAGAACCCTTTTCCCAGCTTAGCCAGTATATAAACAAACATCTGTGATTTCTCCACAGATACGTTACACGTATCCATATACTTCAGTCAAAGTCTAATAAGATCACATGTTGTGATAAGCCTTAGCAATTATATTATTGGCCAGAGAAAAAGAACAAATTTGTTCTATTCAACTAGCTTTCAAATTGAAAATCCATTCTTGAAATTGGTAGGGAAATACTGATATTATCGTAACTTCTTTTCTTTCTTTCCCTTGGCAGCACCACGGATTGAACTCAAGGTTCACACTGAGCTAAATCCTCAACATATTTTACATTATTTAGAGTGACAGGATTATAGGCATGTGACACCATGCCCTGCCACCTATTTTCTAATTGTAATGAAATTAAAAGATTTAGAAAAATCTGTCAATGAAATGAAAAGATTTAGCCTTTCTGTGACTGCTAATTTTAATATTTTTATCGAGTATTTCTTCTGTTTTCATAGAAAAACTATCTTCATGATACCTTTTAAACTTTAAAAAATGCTACATGCCTACATGTTTTTTCACAGAGAAAACAATCTCTGCAGTCTTGTTGCTCAGAGTACAGAAGACAATTCATTTTTGTAGTTTACAAATGAGCTGAAAGGAAAATAATTACACCATGTGATGTGGTTACACTTTGACTATTTGGTTTAATGTGCTTTGCCATTTGACTTCATAGAGTTTACTTACCCGAAGTCAGAAATCCTGCATATAAGAAAACAATAGTTAGGTATAATATATAAAATTATGAATTCATTCCCTCATCATTTCTAGGTAGAGTACCAGATAGAAGGGCTACAAAGATGATTAAAGGTTTTTCTCCAAGAAGAAAACAGCCTACTCTGGGATAGACAGAACATTAATTTTATTTATTTATTTTTGTTTTTTGAGACAGGGTCTCACTATGTAGTTGAGACAGCCCTGGAACTTACTATGTAGCCCAGGCTGGTCTCAAACTCACAGCGATCCTCCTGCCTCAGCCCTGAGAGCTGAGATTACAGGCGTGCGCCATCACACCCAGCAGAACATGAATTTTAACACAATGTTAAAAGAGCTGAAACAAAATCATGAACAGGAACAGGAAATTAAAAGAATCCCATCATGGCTGAGACTACAGCATGCTGTTTAGTCCCACTCAAATAGGGGTAAAGTTCTACAAGATATATCTCTACGTTTGAAGCCCATTTACATATTGTATCCAATGTTAGAGATAATGTTAATTATAACAGAGGAAACAGGCTGGCAAGTCTTGACCTAGCCAAAGGGGCGCTGTACAAAAATCTCTAAGGGCTTATAGGCATTTACTTGCTTCAGCTAATAAAGAAGGGGGAGTATTAATCGTGTATTCCCATTATGGAGAAGATTAGCAACAGGTGCTTTCTGTTATATAGAAAGAAGGCAGGGAACTCACTCTCCCCTTAAGAAATTTCCTTAAACTTGTGGAGTGGGGGGGGGAATCATAACTAACTGCAATACAGACAGAATAATTATTTTTTAGTTTTGTTTTTTTGGTGCCCAGGGCCTTGCATGTATTAAGCATGTGTGGTAACGGTGAGTTATATCCCACCCTCAGGATGACAGAAGTTTCCAACAGCTTTTCATATGGTGATCTAGAAGTAGTTATCACAGGATCTTTACTGAAGATGAGATACTTCACTGATGAGAAGAAATTTGATTCAAAGATGATCAGAGACTGGCTTTTCTCAACTAATGTTAAATACATGTGCAATACAAAGAAGACCTGGAAATTAAATATATTTTGAGAGACAGAATGGGAGGTGGGCACGGTGATGCATCTTTGTGACCCCAGCATTTGGGGGCTGAGCTGGAGGATGGCAAGTTCAAGCTCAGCCCGGGCAACTTAGCGAGACCCTGCCTCAAAACAAAAAATAAAAAAGGCGTGGGGATGCAGATCAGTGTGAAGGCCTGAGGTCCATCCTTAGTACCATGAAAAGGAAAAAGAGGAACGTGGGGCATATAACTATTTAGATTTGCTGAAAGCCAAGGCTAGCATGAGAACTCATGCTCAAGTCATGACCACAAATTAGGGTTCTATTTAGCAGCTCAGAGGGAGCCAACAGGGTCTTCTGAGGACAGAAATAGAATAAATTATATTACGGTTCAGAGAGAAAATCTGATGTCAACCATTGTAGACAACAGTGAAATTGAGAAGACCAGATAGAAACCATTAAATAATGAAAGAGATACACAAAATTCTTATGGAGACCAGTACCAGAGGTGATAACTATGGCAGGGATCTAGTGAACTGGATTTAATGTCTGAATGCAGGGATGATACCTATCTCTATGAAGATGAAGAAACAGACACAGGACGAAGTAAAAGCAAGCTAGCTAATCAGTCCAGGTTTTCCTTGTAGCATCTGACAGATTGGTAGAATACTGAGTAGGCAGCTTAGCTGTGTGTCTGCTACCCAGAGTTGGGATTAGAGATGGATTTGGGAATTAGCAACATGGAGGTGACAAATGAAGTCATGGGAACGATGTGATTAACAGGGAAAAAGGCACAGGGAAGATCTTTTTTTGGTACTGGGGATCGAACATGGGCCCTTATGCTTGAAAGGCAGGCAACAGAACCACTGAGCCAAATTCCCGGCCCACAGGGAAGATTCTTGAAGAATTCCTTTTTCATTCTCTGCATTTAGGGTTAGATCCACAAATTCAACCAAACATGGATAGAAAATACTTGAAAATACTTGACTGGTGTTGAACGTGTGCAGACTTATTTTTTGGTACCGGGGATTTAACTCAGGACATTGTGCTTGTGAGGCAGGTGGTAGAACCACTGAGCTACATCCCCATCCCCATATACTTTAAATCTTCACTATATTACTTACAACATCTAATGCAATGCAAGTGCTGTGTAAGTAGTTGTTGTATCATTTAGGGAACAATGATAAAAGAATCTGCGCAGGACTGGGGATTTAGTTCAGTGGTGCCATTGCCTGCGTTGCAAATGCAAGGTCCTGAGTTCGATCTCTGGTACCAAAAAATAAAAATATATGGGAGGAGGTGTATAGATTATATGCAAATACTATGCCTTTTTGTATGAGATACTTTATCACCCTTGGATTCTGGTATCCCACTCCCACTGATAAAGGAGCAATGTATTTGGAAGAGACAAGGAAGTAATTGAGGAACAGCAATAGATAAGAGGAATGAGTCTGAGGGGAAACTGAGATTTGACAAGGACTCCGTGGCAGGAAACAGGAAACATTTTCAGTAAAATAGTCCAGATAAAATCATATTGCTAGAACAAAAACAATCAGGTAAAGAAAAGAGGCAACTTTTGAGCAGCTGGGCAGTAAGGGGAAGACAAAAGTGGAAACTTGCTTTCACATAGGGATAAAAACGAGCAACAAAATAATCAAGATGTGGAAGTAGGTGGGCACAGGGGCACGGGCCTGTGAACTCAGCTACTTGGGAGGCTGAAGCAGGAGGACTGTAAGTCTGAGGCTAACCAGTTGGTCTCAAAATAAAAAATAAAAAAGTGCTGGGATGTAACTCAGTTGCCCCTGGATTCAGTCCCCGTACTGCAAAAACAAGAAATGCAGGCTGGGGATTTAGTTCAGTGGCACCGCTTCTGCCTCACAAGTGCAAGGTCCTGAGTTTGAACCCCGGTACAAAAACAGACAAGAAATACAGAAGGAATTCATGTTATGGGTTGATTTGAGCCCCCCAAAAAAGTTTGTGCAAACTCCTAACACTCAGCGTCTCAGGGTGACCTTACTGGAAATAGGGTTATTACAGATGGAATTAATCAGGTTAAGTGGAGGTCATATTGGGATAGGACAGGCTCCCAGCTCAACACGACTTGTATCTTTACAAAAAGCCACATGATTACAGAAGCACAAGGAAAAGCATACGAAGAGGCAGAACTGAAATGATGCATCTCCAAGTCCTGAACTCCAGAGACGGCCAACAAAGCAGCAGGCGAGAGGACATAGGCAGGGCACCTTGATTTTGCACGCTTAGCTCCCAAGCTTCCAACACATTTCACTGCATAAAATGTGGCACTTTGCTAAAGCAGTCCTAGAGAGCCGGTGTCGTTTACTTAAGACTTTTAAGAGAGAAAGGAAAAGAAGACAGGTGAAGACACTGTTCTGAAGGATGAGGATGTAAATGTGGGTGAATTATAAAGTGGAATAGGATTCTGTGCACCGAACAGAAGTTTAGGTCTAACACCGCAGTCACAAGCACTGTAGACCAGACCTGAATGCTTAGAACAGAGATGACATAGTGGGTGGGTGGTGGATCATGGAGTCACAGCAACTGAACCAGAGAAAGCAAAAGCACTGAAGGCAAAGGATAAGTGGCTGCATGTACTTCAGTGTCTGGTCTTATACATGCAGAGAATAGGAGCTATTTTGTTTTTCTTTTCTTACAATAAATGCCATATAAGTGAGAAAAGAGTATTTTGTGGATCTATTTTCTGACACTTTTTTTTTTTTGTACTGTGGATTGAACTTGGGTCCTTGAACTTGTGAGGCAGGTGGCAGAGGGTCTATTTTCTTATACTTTAGATAACTTAAGTATCAAAGAAACTCAAAACAGACAATGTACTGGTAGACAGCAATTCAAGATCCACGGCGCGTCACCTTCCTTACCATGGGCTGTGCCCAGCAAGAGCTCAGGAGCTAGGTAGTCTGGGGTTCCTAGAATTCGCCCGTCGTCCACTGGGGCTGCCCCTCTTCGCACACTCTTTGGAGTTCGGTAGGAGGTTCCAGACTTGATCTGATTTGGGGTCTGCTAATTCAAAGAATTTAAAACACAGCAAATATCCTCATTCCTTATACAAGGACTATAAATACTGAAACAAACGAAATAGCTAGATACTGAGCTACTAGGTGTAAAAGATAAACTGTACTGAAATCCTTGATGAAAGATTTGAAAACGGACTCATAACTAGTTATAATTATCAAAAAGTCTTTATATGTAGAAGTTCAGTTGCTCAGATAACAATTATTTTACTAAGATTTGGAAATACCACATATAATGAAAAAATACACAAAGATTTAATAGCATGGCTTAATACAAAACTTAACAGTCATTTGAGGGAAAGGTGGGGATTTAGCTCAGGGGAGAAGCACACAAGGTCCTGAGTTTGAGCCCCAGTATGGGGGTGGGGAAGTCATTGAGAAAGGCTACAGCTGACAAATAATTATTAGGATGATATACAAAATAACACAAATAATCCCTTGGGCTAAATAGGATCTAAAAGGTTTTAAGATAACTGTTAATCTAACAACATGTAATCACCTCAGACTTTTTTTTTTTGGTACCAGGGATCAATTCAGGACCTTGCACTTGTGAGGCAGGCCTGGTGCCACTGAGCTAAACCTGACCCCGCCTCAGACATCTAAAAAAAAAAATGCAGGCTCCTGAGTTTAAGGGACTTCTAAACCTGTAAATAAGTCCTTGTTAGAAACTCAAAGTCTCACTGCTTCTCAGCCTTGTGGCTAAGATCAAGGGTAAAAACCCAAGTCTCATAATTCAAGTTCAGAGTTTATACTTTTTATATTATGGTATTTCTCCAAAAACAGAAAAAAATAAATTTTTGGTTTATGAAGTTGAGAAAATAAAAACAAAATATTTGAAATACAAATTTCATATTTTTTCTATAGATTATCGAAATATGTCCTCAGACTTGAGTTTGATATCTCATAGCACTGCTGGGAAAATGTGATTGTGTTTTTTGTAAAGTATATAAAAATACACAAAAGGAAGAAGATGGTGTTATGAAGCAAAATCTGCATGAAAACTTCCAACAATTCAGTCTCAAATAAGAACAAAACTATATAATTCATACTATACAGTCTGAGAGGCGAGTGTTAGGGCTGCCCCTCCATCCCTAAATATTCACTTAGATTGAATGCAGTACCTTCACACTGAGCTACATCTGCAGCATTTTTTTTTTTTTTTTTGTCTTGAAGTCACTAAGTTGCCTAGGCTGAGCTTGAACTCACAATCCTGCCTCAGACTGCCCGAGTGCTAGCACCATACCTGGCCAAGTGCCTGTCTTAAGTTGATTTTTCTGTATCTAAAGAACAAAGTGTTGCCGGGGATGTAGCTCAGTGGTTCTGGCCACTGCTTCCCAAGTGCAAGGACCTGAGTTCAATCCCCGGTACTAAAAAAAAAAAACACAAAAAAAAAACAAAGTGTTAAAAGTTAGAATATACCTGATATGGCAGAGAGGATCTCCCTTTCTGAGTAGGGGTGACAGCCATGGGATATGAGCCACTATATGCACATGAAACGTCCATCGTATCTAAACAAGTAATGCTCATTTTGGATGGTTCTGAGTTACTGGATGCATTAATATGACTGTTAAAACTTCGAAAAGCTACAGCATTTCTTTTAGAGAGCATTAACGTTTTCAAGGCCTCCGAAGAAGGAGCTAACATTTTTTGGACAGCAGAGTTCTCATCATCTTTCGGCAAGGTATTCTCTTGGCAGTTTGGTGATACAGTAAGTTGATCTTCAGTATTTGATTCTTCAAAAGAGGATTCTTTGATACTTTTATCTGGATCTAGGGACTGCCTTTCTAATGAACTTTCCATTATGGAAACTCCAGGAAAAGACGAATCGGAGTCCATGCAAATACTTCTGGGACCACTATCATCATCACAACATAAAAAATTAGAACTTAAGTACTCCTTCCTATCAGTCTTCTCACAATCTTCCTCTAGTTCACACATAAGGTTTTTCGCTATCATTGGTACGGAGACATTTTCTGGTGCGTGTTTATCAGTAAAGTGATGGACGATGTTCTCCTTCTCAGCACAGTCATTTTGCTGACATCTGTGTACTGACAACTTGAGATCCCGGATTTCACCTGTTAAGCCTGTGCTGTGATTTGTATGACAATCTCGCATTTCTTTATTATGCTTATTCTCCACACAATTTTTTTTATTTTGTGTACTTTCCTGACAGGGACTAGAGTCAACCAATTCAAAATTTCTTTTTAAGCTTCTTTTCCCAAGGGGCTCCTCTGGCATACTACTAGAATTCAGAGCCCATTGCTCTGACTGCTGGCAACCAGGCTGTCCTGTGTCAGGGGCCGTGCTCACATTGTTTACATTGAGTTCTCCTGCTTCCCAAGAAACTTCTCCAGAAAAGCATTTTTTCGCAAGGTTTACACATGATCCACCAGTGGTAGGAATGGCATTGCTGTTATGAATCGGAGAAAGGGCCAGCTCAAGATCCTTTTTATGGAAACCTTTGGTCTCAGGGTCGTCTGCAGATTTTGTACACACCTTTTCCATTGCATTCCAACTCATCATTGTAGAGCCTGATGCTTCATCACTTTCCTACAAGGAAAAAGCAATACTTCTTAGTTCATGGAAAGCTGAAACTCTGACCTTCTAACCTCTGTCCACATAGGTAGGATAAATAACCCTATAAATCACTCCCTCCCTATTCGCACTTTCAAACAACAAAATAACAATAATAGGGAATTAAAAAGCAATATAAAGAATTATAGTATAAGCTGACATCTGAAACACGTTCTAAAATTTAAATGAATTATCCACTAATATTCTTATACATGGTATTAAACAGGACAAATTAACAAGCAATATATTTAGGCAGATTTAGGTTAACATTACATTATACACATTTGTTCTTCAACATCATATGAACGTATGTTTTTAACTGCAAAATGCAGAGGGCATGAAATCTAGTAAAAATTATAGAGCAGGGCTGGGAATGTAGCTCAGTGGCATAGTGCCTGTCTGGCAAATGAGAAGCACTGAGTTCGAGTCCTGATAAAAAAATAAAATTACAGAGCAAAAATATTGCTATTATAAACATGAATCACTTCATTCTATAAAAGCAAAAGATGCAGGAATTAAAATTCATTGTCAACAAGATGAACTAATGATACACTGATAACAAAATGCTTTTCTTGAAAACTGAATTCTAACTTTCTATCAGTTCTCATGTGTACTCATACATTGCAAACTGGTGCATGGTGACCAGGATTTTTATAAAATTACTCAAAGTGAGTCTTCAGTAACTAAAAGTACCTATTTTTGATGTGCAAACTTTAAAGTCTTATTCAGTAATAAGGAGGAACACTTACTTATGAGAAAAAACAATCCAAAACCAAAGAACAGGGGCTGGGCATTTATCTCAGTAGCACTGTGCCTGCCTCCCGAGCACAAGGTCCTGAGTTTGATCCCCAATACTGGAAATGAAACAAAACAAAACAAAAAACCCCAAATGTCCTGCATTACATGAATTTGAGTATCAGGACAGGGTGATCTGAGGGTCCCTTTTCTGATCACAACTTGAGAGACACTATTATAATCTAATCATTGCTTTCTTCAGAGCTCAGAAATGGAGGGCCAGGGATTTAGCTCAGTGGTTCCAGCACGTGCCTCGCAAGCATAAGGACCCGTTTGATCCCTGGTACCAAAAAAAAGAAAGAAATGGAAGAAGGGACAATACAAAAGAGGTAAATTAATAGTACTGGCAATGGAAATGTTTATTCTATAGCATGTAGTATGTATAACACAACCTAGAGAGGAAAAAGAAAAAAAAAAGAAAGAGACATTCTGCTTTATCTAAAAGTTAATTTGACCCTGTTCATAAAACACAAATATCCAACAATGAAGAAAATCAGATTGCTGAGCATAAGCAGCAAATATAATCCAAATAAATTCATCAAGTAGGCTTATCCTAATTTAACATTACTTATTCAGCATTTTATAACAACCTTATTATATTTTACATTTTAGTTCCTATCATCTTTAGTATCAGTAGCTTTCCTAACTTTTTGAAAGGGCAAAAGCAGAATACATAAAGTAGAATAACTAGGTAAATTAATTTGCTAAGCAATGGCCTCAGAGTAGACTCAGAACACCCATATCGTATCACCTTTTGATTTAAGGGCTATTCCTGAGAGTTACTAGTCTGTTAGATGAGAATCTGATAGGAAACGTCGTTAAGAGGAGGTAGGGATAAAAACTAAACAAACTAATGTCTGTCATGGTAGGGAATTCAAGTCCAATTTCACTATCAGTTTATTATAGTAACTTAATTCTCCATTATACACTAAGCAAGAGCAACTTCACAACTGAATGAGAAATGAAATACTGCACAAGAATTTGACAGCATCTCGGGAAGAAAGACTTTGAGGTTGTCCTGTGGCTGCTGCTTGCGTGGCAGTCTGATTTCTCCGTGGGATCTGTATCACAGGGCCCGGTGTTGGTCAGGAGTCCAGCACAGAGGTGGCTGTGCTTAAACAAAGCCCTTCTAACCTGGCAGTCCCGCTCCCACTTGGGGCTGCTGTGGCATTCCGACCCCACGCTGGACACGAAGGTGTGGGAGTGGCTGCTGGCGCTGGATGTGGCCAGCCTTCTCCTGGACTGGAGCAGACCAGGAGTCAGACACCTCACAGGTACTTCCGGGTGGGAAGCAAGCGCTTCAAGACCTGTGGGAGAAGACAGTACTGCTATGTCACAGCTTTCACAGCTCCTCACCGAACCCGAACATTCACAGACTGGGCCTGGGATTAAGCTCAGTGGTTCTGCTGCCTGCCTCGCAAGTGCAAGGACCTGAGTTCAATCCCCCGTACCAAAAAAAAAGAAAAAAATCCTGAACACTCACAGGTGATTATCTGTCACGCTGCAGAACTATTTCTTTGTAAATATTGTCCTCCACAGATGGCTGCGAGGATTTCTGCTATGATTATCATATTCAGCTTCACAAATAAAAATACAAATACTGTTCTTAAGTTTAGAACAACAACAACAAAAATTGTCTTAACATTTCTAGAGTAAAAACCAGGACAAGAGAATTTGTTTATACACTAATTAGAAGGAATCAATTTTGAGTTCTTTCTTTTTTTCCTTTTTATTGAGGTTATTGGTACAATCTAGGTATACAATTACATTCATCATTGGGATTCTGTACCTTTACATAATAGGTCTTGATTCTCATTTTTCCCCTTGTCCCTGCCCTCCCTTCACCCACTCCTCCCCTCCCCATTTACAAACACTTTATTTCCATTTTTTCAGTTTCTCCTATTTTTTCCTCTCCCTTATTACCTTTCCCCCACCCTTCCCACTTTCCCTACATCTTTAGCCTTTTACTTCCTATTTCACATTATTAATTATCTCATTAGGATCCTGTGTACTATTGTAGTTTTTCACACCAAAGAAACTATTCGGTATTTCAGTTAAAGAAATCTCTGTATGAACATTAAAAATAGGGAATCCTAAGAGTTATTTCTGATCTAATATGAAACTGTTCTTTTTTTTAAAATTTGGTACCGGGGACCGAACTAGAACCTTATGCTTGCAAGGCAGCCACAGCACCACTGACCTAAATCTCCGGCCTAAGGCATTTTCTTAATGTAACAGAATAAAGCACATATGTAACCCTACAGAGGGCTACACATTTGCTTCTCTATCATATATGAAAAGGCTGACAATGATTTTTGTCAGCTCGTAATTAGGTGTAACACAATTGTGTCCTTTGTTTTGGGGGTATTGGGAATTGAGCTGAGTGCTGAGCTATATCCCTAGGCCCTTTTAATTTTTTAAATTCTCAGATAAAGTCCCCTAAGTTGCCCAAATGGACTTTGAAGTTGCCATCCTCTTGGCTCTGCCTCGCAAGTAGCTAAGAGTAGAGGCGCAAGCCATCACACTTTGCTGACAACTGTGCTACTGCTGAAGACACAGTGGTAATACAATTATGCAATCATTTTACACGTGTATGAAAAGATGCACATGGCTTGTTTTCTTTCCACAAGAGTGAACATGATCTCAATCTCAAGGAAATTTGTTTTTGAAAAGGAAATATGATTTTAAATATATTCTCATCTATTTCTAAATGTCAGAGTTCTTGATCAGATTTGAAAACATTTTTTTTAACAAGTCCTTGACAACCTCCAAATCGTTCTTGTTGAACTTCCTATTTTTCCAGCACAACCCAGACCAGAGGGCCAATCTCAAGGAAATTCTTAGTGTACTAAGTCTTAGAACTCTAAAACTGAAGGGATAAGCCAGGTGTGGTGGTGCACGCCTACAGTCCTCACACAGTGAGTTCAGGCCAGGCTGAATTACAAAGGGAGACCTACCTTAAAAAAAAAATAAGGAAGCATTCCATGTAATCCTACGTTCTTTTCACTACTGAGATCCTCTCAGTGCAATTCCTGACATGCACTGGTCACCAATTTTGATATATATGGTGACTGTTTAGCTACCTCCAGCCAGGACCATGGGAACTCGCGTTTAACCAAGTACCACGCGCACACTGCATTTGCTAGTGAGTCAGTCCTTCTTCACTGCTGGTGATCACCCATTTCCTACTTTGGAACTTGTGACAGCTCCTAGTTTCCCACGTATTTCTGTAATGACATGTGACTCTTTACAATATACTTAGCAAACTTCCTCTCCTACTGCACGTGGCTCTTGCTCTCACACAGTACATTTGGTCCCTACCGTCTGAAGCTGGAACTTATCAGCGCTGCTGGATGTGCTCGTGTCTCTGTCCGAAATGCCCCCTTTTGCTAAACTGAAGCTAGGAAGTTCTTGCTTCTCTCTTGGGTCCAGTTTGGCCATCACAGACCATTCCCGTTAGCTTTGCCCCTACTTCCTCCTGTCAGATTCATTTTAAAGGGTTGTTCATGTTGTCTGTCCCAATCTCCTGTGCACCTTGCTATTTGTCTTTTATCGCATGCAAAAATATCTTCAAGTTTTTAAATTTAAACTACCACAAAATGTTTTCAAAATACGGCTACTGTAGGGCCCCATAAAACTGCAGGTGCTGTATCTTGTTTATATTGTATGAGATTTCTATAAACCTACTATAGCGAAATTAACCTGATGATCGTTCTAATTTTATAGATTATCTCATTAGCCAGACATTTTATTCTCTTGATTTACAAATCTGCCACCACCATGGTTACACACGGCATTGACAGGATGAAACAGGAATGTCACAGATGGTTGAAATATTTATATTTTAAAAATATTAATTTGATATGACATTTTAACATTTGAAAAATTTTTTCCTTAAAGGACATGCTTAGTGTAATAAAGCCCTACTCTTTTTATACTCACATGAGTATAGTTTGCTAGAGTAAGGCGTGGTCTCCTTTTGATCTACAGACATGGGACAAATGAATCCTTGAGAAAGCTGTGATGTTTCTGAATGATGGGTTGAAATGATGTCTGCAGAGTCTTGACTTTTTTCTGCAACTGGTGTGAACTATCAATGGAAGAAAATTAAAAACAAATGCTAAAGATTTAACTTTACAAAAATACCACCTAAGAATACAGGCTGTTATACCATATAAGCTGACAAACTGTCAAACAAATGTTACCTCATGCTTGTTATTTACATCTAGGTTTTTCTGAGTCAGGGTCTCACTATGTAGTTGAGACTGACCTGGAGCTCACTATGCAGCCCAGGCTGGTCTCGAACTCAGTGATCCTCCTGCCTCAGCCTCCCAAGTGCTGTGATTACAAGCGTGCACCACCACGCCCAGCTATTTGCATCTAGTTTTATTTTTTTAATGGGGACTTTGAATTTTAAGGGGTAACTGTGAAAAGATATAGCATAAGAATTTTTCTTATCAAGAACTTACGAATCCCAGAGAACTGATGAGTGACAATACTTGTCCTGGGGTTCTTGAATAATCTTGCTTGGGTTTGGCCATAGATGGTGTTGTAAGGATATCCATCATATTGATATCTGTGTGTGCAAAGGAAAGAACAGTAATTAAAAAAAAAACTTTCAATTTTCACCAAGTCAACAGTCATGTGTTCTGCATTATTAACCTTACCTGTAAAACTGGCTTGTGCAGGATAAATGTATTCAGTGAGTCTACCATTCCACAGAGGAAACATTTACAATTGACTGAAATCATTAAAACGTCTCATGAATAGTCTTACTCTAAAACGAGTGGCTCATGGTGAAATGACGCAGAATCTTATTAGATTTTTAGGGATTACTCAGTCACAAAAAATAAGTGCTATCAACTAGCAAGAAAATAATTTTTGGTAAATCAAATACTGAAAAACAGTTGGTAAGGAAAAGTACAAATTCTGGGCTTCTCATCCTAACATGCTGAAGCCTAGATTAAGATAGAAGTTGACCCACATTTCAGCATGCTTAAGTGTGTAATATTTTAAAATAATTTAATAGTACACATAATATAATACTATTTTACTTAGATACCAAAAATGGCAAAAGAAGCCTAGGGGTCTGTGTGTAGTACAGGACTTTAAAGTTTGAATGTAACAAACTTTATTTACATCTCACATCGATGAAGCAATAAATTAATAATAATCTTGAAGGACATTTTACAAATAAAACTAAAAATTAGGCCTTTATGATATAGTTATTAAATTCATCAGTAGTATCATCTTAATACAAAAATGTTCCCAATTGGTGATACTTTTCAATAGCTTAAGAAAACAAACGTGCAAGTAGATGGTGTCTTTGAGAATATCCCTAATAACATCTCTTACCGCATCAGCATCAAATTTTGCTGTTTCTGCAGTAAAATGTATAAACATTCACATGAAGCGGGATGAAGAAAGACTAAAGGCAGCCCTGTATTAGCTCAGGCCAGATGTGACCAAACTTAGGAAGAACCTTCAGGTATTCACAACTGTTTGAATCTTGTACTCCCAAATAAAGAATCACAGATCTACATATACTTTCAAATGATTATAATTACAGGGTTTATAATTTATAACCTATTTTCATTTACTTAAAAAACCCCACACTTCCATCTCTCTGCCATATCTTCTTTCTTTCCCCAGTGCTGAGGATAAACCATGGTCTCATGCTCCACCACTGTGCCGTACCCCAGCCCACTTGTATGCTTCCTAGTAGACAGTACTGTACCATCTGTTTCCAAGTTGATAATGTCATTTGTCCATGCTTCTACGATGAACTTAGGTAGTTTGGAGGTTGTACCTATTAAATACAGTTCTGCTAAAAATACTATTCATGTGTGTTTTGCTCTCCTGAGCTGCTGTTTTTCAGTGCCGGGGACTGCATGTTAGGCAAGTATTCCACCACTGAGCTAATCCCCAGCCCCTTGGACTGCTTTCTTAAATTCCAAAACATAAACTCAAAGAGAATTAAAACCTTTTGTTTTTAAAACACATTGGCAGGGGATTTAGCTCAGTTGCACCACACCTACCTTGCAAATGTCCTGAGTTCAATCCCCAGTACCACCCCCAAACAAACAAACAAACAAGCCCCCCCAAGAAAAACACTGGCAAATTTTCTTTAGAAAGCACTATGCTAATTTACAGTGACCCTAGACAAACCTGTTTTGCTTTTTTTGTTTGTTTTTTGAGACAGGGCCTCCTATTTTGCTTTTTCAAAGTAGTTTTGTTAACTGGATCATTATTCCATTTTTATAATGCTTACTAGTATAAAATGGTTCTTTTTTATATTAGCAGTAATTATTACTAGTGAAGCAAACATATTTCCATAATACACACACACACACACACACACACACACACATGAATTGTGTTAATCTCTGTTCTTTTATTAGTTTTAGTGGTAGCCATTTATATGTGAATAAATGATTAGATATTGACCTTTTATCATATTATATTTATTTTAGTATTTTTACTGTTGCTTTATTGATGAGAACCAGTTTCTAATAGGGAGAGAGGTCAGAAGAACAGAAATTATAAGATCCAAGGATTTTCAGTGATCTTTGAAGATCCAATAGTGGCCGTTCCCATTTTTGATTATCGTCTGTTAGCCCTCCATTGAGTGAGAGGGACTGAACCCAAGACCACATGTATGCTGAACTCTTTAACACTGAGCTATTCCCCTAACACTATTTTTTATCTTTCATGGAAAAAGATATAATTATATAGTCTATTTTAGAATAAATAACTCAAAGTTCACTTAGTATGCCCAAAGTATGTTAATGAAATATATTCTAAAATTTTTATTGTTTTTTATAGTCTCTAAAATTTGCCTGACATTTATTTATTTATGGTATGGGGGATCAAACTTAGGACCTTGCAATTTGCCAGGCACGCACAGTACCACTGAGCTACAACCCTGGTCCTTTGAGTACTTTTTTTTTTGGTACTGAAAATTGAATTCAGGACCTTGTGCCTGCCAGGCAGCCCAGCTGGACCTTTAAAAACTACATACTTCGTAATTTTCTTACCTCTATTCAAAGTCACTTTGGAAAGGCCAAAATCTGTCAGTTTAATATGACCCTCATTAGAAATCAGCATATTGTCTGGTTTCAAATCCCTGCACATAAAAAAAAAAAAGGAAAATAGATAACTAAAGAAAAGGCTAGTTTTAATATTAGAATGTCTAAGAAAAAGAGAGTGTTACAGAAGAGGCAAATTTTATTTATTTCCTCTAAAAAGCATTTATTGGTGGCTCTGCAATGAATAAAACAACTTTCAAAAGCAATTCTGTGGTACATCTGAATCCAGAAAATATTAGATGACTTAATAGATTTAATACTAGATTATCTGTGGTGTTAGATTTTACTATTAAAATAAACTGTATTAGATAAAGTCAACCACAAGTCAATTCAAAATTGCACTTCTTTCAGAAGTAAGCAAGCTTTGACAGAGCAGAGTAACTTAACCTTTCTTCGCACACAGCAAACCAGTGCAAACCAGTAAGACGACACAGTACGGCACTTTACTGCATGATGGCAGAAGAGTGGAAAAGAATTTAATAGTATTTACACTGAAACACTGTTCACGTTCAAAGCAACATAATTTAAAACACAGGGAGACGAAAACAGGAGTTACAGGAATTGCCAAATTCACGCGAGTTAAACTTCAGGTAATCTGGAAACACAGGCAAGTGGCGACAGTAAATCTAAACCTTAACACATGATTTGATTATCTGCACATTGAAGTAGTGGTTTAGAGAAAAGTCAGCCTTTACCTATGGATGATTCCGTGTCTGTGAAGGTAATCCAGAGCCAGTGCTACTTCAGAAATATATTTCACAGCCATCTCTTCATCAAAATAGCCATATATATGCAGAAGAGACTTGACATCCCCACCAATAAGATACTCCATCACCTATTTGAGAATTTAGTATCATCAAGTAAAAACTTACTTTCAAGATACAGCATTGGGCATTATAGTTACATATTTTTAGTATAGTTCTGTAACAAAATGCATTTTCTTGTTATCACTCGTTATCCTTTAATGCCAGGTTCACTCAGGTTCCATATAATCTTTTTTTTAATCTATCCTGGGAATTGAACTCAGAGCCTGTTCACTAAGCTTTGTCTCCAGCTCTTCTTGTTTTTTGAGACAGGGCTCTTGCTAAGGCACTACGTGACTGGGCTCTTAAGTGGGATCCTCTTGCCTCAGCCTCTCACAGTGCTGGGATTACAGGTATCCGCCACGACACAGGGCTTCATGTAATATTTAATTAAAAATTAAACTGGTTAAGGGCTGGGGATTTAGCTCAGCGGTTCCACCACCTGCTTTGCAAGCACAAAGACCTGAGTTTGATCCCCGGTACCAAAAAAAAAAAAAAAAAAAAAAATTAAACTGGTTAGCTTGAACACAAATTTAGACTTGTAGAAATAAAAAAATCTTAGAACATTAGAATTATTTTCCATATATTCTTCATCCGGATTCACTCATTCTTAGCATTTTGCCTATTTGCTCTCTATTTTCTCTATATATGAGATTGTGATCCCAAAATTCGGTATTTAAATTAAGATGATTACAGTGAAAGACACACTGCCATTAATTCAATCTCAAAGTACTCCCCGCTTCTAACACACATCCCAGTGCTCTTGCCACTGCCTGAAGCAGTTCCGGAAGTCCTCATTTGTGAGTGTTTTTACTCAGGCTGCTGTGGCCGCCTCTGTGTCCCGCACTGATTCAAAACAATTGCAGCAATTTCTGTCTGACACAAACATCACAGTGCGGCCTCATCCATTTTATTTACTGCACCTGGCACCATGTAACTTCCCCAAAGTCAAACACCCCAACACTTCGAATAGACTGAGGACACTGAGGCAGCCTCCACAGCACACTCACGAAAGACGACTGCGGAGATGCTTCAGACAGCGGTGAGAGTGGTGGGTGGGACGGCGTGTCTGAAGCCAGGGTGTACGCTAATGTGCCTGTTACTGCAACACATCTTTTATTTTTAGGTTTTTAAATTCACTGTGATTTCACACTTCATATGTATACAGAATAAACTTTAATATGTATATATTAGATATATGTATTAAAACTTATAGACTATAAAGTAATTAATATACTCAAATATTTTTTGAACATAAATTTTGCTTTGACTAGAACATTTAATTAAAAAGAAAAACAATACAGTCTTGGGTATACTCAGTGATAAAGTTATTTCCTTAAAAAAGCATGCATAAGCCCTATGTTGATCTTTAGCATCGCATAAAATAATCCAATGTGGCAACAGTAAATCTGATATGAATGGCACAATATAATTTTATGTTTTTGAGATGAGTTCTTGCTAAGTCATCTAGGCTGGTCTCAAATTATTGAGTTCAAAGGATCCTCCTGCCTCAGCTTCCCAACTAGCCAAGACTACAGGCATGAAGCCCTACACCCAGCTAATGTGTACATTTAAAACTTCTGGTGAATAATCTGAGAATACAGTCGAAAAGGTCATGACGTTATAATTTCATTCTTTATCACATTCCTCCTAATGAGACATCTTTGCACAACTACAATGCTGTTAGACGACGGCCTTATCGAATATGCTGTCTGCTTCAACTTGTCTGACCATCTCACGGTGCCCACTATAGCATCGCTCTTCACCCCCTTCCCATCCCCATGCCAGCATCAGGCCAGGCCCTTAGTTGTTCCATCTTTTTGGTCTGCTTTGATCTGGAGCAGTTTTTCAGCTGTGTGTGTCTGTGCGTGCGTACATTTCATGACAGAAACATTTTTGAAATGTGCAGGCATATTTAAAGAAATCCTTCAATTTGTTTGTTTCTTCATGGTTTGATGAATGTTATGCAAGTTTGGCAGAAATATCAGGGTAGTGCTGAGTCCTTCCCAGTGACTTCCACTGGATCAAGGCACCTCGTTTATCAGCAGATCTGGAGAGGGGTTTGACTTTCTTCCAGTACTGGGTATCAGTCCTAAAGCCTTGTGCCAAGCAAGTTCTCTGCCACTGAGTCGCATTACCAGCGCCTACATCTCTTATGAGGATGCTTAATGCAGTTTGTCTGACCACATCTTGAGCGTCAAGGATGAAGTTAGGTGGATGAGAGATGGTTTACTATCTGATTTTAGGAAGAAAAAATGAGAGGTGGGGAGCACAGTTCAGTGGTAGAGTACTTGTCTAGCCTGTGTAAGGCTCAGCACTCCTGCTCCCCCCACCCCAAAATGAGAGCTGCTTACTTATTTCATGAATTCTAGGGCCTAAGCATTGAAAAAAATTCTGCCAAGATGAGTAATTCCACCTGACCCTTTAGCATCACTGCTGGACTAGGCATGAGGAGACACCTAGCTAAATCAAGTTGGATGCTCTAGCCACACTCATGGCATGTGGGGCAGTGTGTGTGTGTGTGTGTGTGTGTGTGTGTGTGTGTGTGTGTGTGTGTGTGTGTGT